AACATATAGGAAAGAAACAAGCTAAGACCCCACAGCAATGGTGAGGCTATCATCATCATCTCATAGCTCATTAGGTTGGAGTTGGTCCCTGTCATATCAAGAACAGTCGGCATCCAGATTAAACAAGGGAGTATATGATCTCCTGATCTCCTCAGGACCACTTTGGAGTTACTCCAAAAGTAATGAACGAACACGCACCTCGACGGTTAAATACCCCGGCATCGAGCTGGGCTGCTGAGTAATTTGGCTTGGAACGCATAGATAATCAGGAATTAGGCAGTAGAATACCTGGTATCGTACCAGGAGGCAGTGAAATGGGATCTGTGGACAGCGATGGCAAGCCGGAGAGGGTGTGTTGACTGCTTGACTAACCATCATCGCAGAAAGCCGGAACGTACTACCAACTACCATCATCATCCGCTTGACTCCGGCGAAGTCACCTCCGACCTCCCCCTGGCGCCTCGAGTGTCTTGGCTCTTCTCCGGCCATTAACGCACGGCAGTTAACGGCTAAGGGTGACGGGTTCCACTTCCACCACCGGGGCACTGGCCACGCTAGGTAGCTAGGTAGCTAGCGCCGCTGGTGCAGTCGCTAGTACGGTCGGCTCCGCTGCCGGCGCCCCGCTGGCCGCTGAGGCATTTGCTCGAACACCGGACGCGCACTGCGCACAGCCGGCCGGGCCGGACGCAGCCAGGGCCTAGAGCCTCGTTGGGCGCCAGCGTGCATTGATCCTGTCCCGTCCGACCGGCGCTGGGGGCCCCCGTCGACGTCGAGAGCACTAGTCATTCGTGCGGACGTCACAAGCAATTCAAGTGATGACGTCAGGTCTCGAGTGAACAACTCGTCGCAGCCTCCGCCAGCACCGCTCTATTTTTCCGTGGCCACGCTTTTCAGTGCGCCGCTCGTACACAAAGGACTGGAGTGGTGCGTTTTTCTCACTGAGAAAGTGCAGGAATCTAGGAGTAGAAAAACCGTCAAAAGTGAACCACTACTCGCTGTCTGATCAGACATGTGCGCCCTTTCAGAAACTGATCACGTTTATCCTCTTCTTCCCTTGCCTCGTTTGGTAGAAGAGTATTTGAGAGATTTTGGGAGGATTTGATGAATCCCTCTCTTTCACCCAATCCTTTCTGGTACACAGGGATTGCTATAGAGGGTTTGCAAAATTAGTATATACTATAACTAAAGATGCAATTTTTACAACTTCAAAAGCTTCAAAAGCTCATAGAAGAAATATACTTGCAACAATGGTGCAACTAGATTACGCAAAATAACAAAAAAAGCTTGTATGATCTGTTGCATGTACTATTAACTGTTCCAATGAAATTGTTACATGCATACATGCCACGATCCAAATGAAAAATACAAGATGTTCGATCAACGAAAGTCAACGGTTCATTACAATATAAATTTGATGGGCAAATGCTCCGAGACATGTTTGCGGGCTGCACTGTGTGAAGGAGACTTGTGGCAGCGAAGTGGTCACCCGTCTTCCGCGAGATCAGGTGCCTATAAAAAACAGATGAATTGGTCCAAGGGTTAGATGTATTTTGAGTAAATGATATTAAAGCTCGCACTGTGATCTTGCCGCTGAAAACAAAATTCAGTGTAAAGTGACCCTATCTGTACATCTCATGTTATCTGTTGGCACCCAAACATCAGATCAAAAGAATTAAACTGAAAAAGTAGTACACATGTACAGCATGATGATGGAATTAAACCAAGACCTAGGTCAATGGTGAATTCGATGAAATCATCAAAGGCAGAAGCACAAGGTTCATAACAAACAAACAAAAAATCTCAAGCAGAATGCAGAGTTAAAATTCAAACAACTGGCATCTTCCGAAGTGAAGCAAAGCACATTTGAAACTAACTAGAATACGTCTGGACTTATAAAATTCTTAGAATGTGTTAAAAGCTCGCAATGAAATATTGCCCTGGATGTATGTATGTTTATTTCCTTCAAATTCAAACAAGTATTCAATGAAGCTCGCAATGTGGACTATTTCCTTGCTGGCTAGAAAGAGCACTGCAAAGAAACTGTAATGAATGGTCAGCTACTGAAGATGAGATAATACATCCTCCACTGCCTCTCTGGATGCAGTCTCCAAGAAAGATATCAACAACATAAACCCGACTCCATAGTTGAAATCCTGTTGGGCAAACTTATTTATTTATCTGACATTTTTAGGCCAAGTTGCACAAAAAGAAAGATTTTGCTAGTAGTACTAAAGTACTGCTTTCTAAACCAAACTCTAGAGTCCAGCACATGGATGGAACAAGTACATTCTGAAACAAAGAAGTACAGTACAGCTTAGGGCCAGTTCTTTTGCTAGCTTTTTTAGGCTTCCAGAATAAGCTGCCCCCTACCCAGCTTATTCTAGAAGCTCAACCAAAAATTTCTTTTTAAAAGCCTACTAGTCAAGTCTTAACTACTAGGCTTCTAAAAAAATAAGTTTGGTTCAGCTTCTAGAATAAGCTAGGTAGGGGGCAGCTTATTGCAACTTATTCTGGAAGCCACCAAAAGAACTAGCCCTTAAAACGGCTTCTCACTACAAGTTGGCGCAAGCAGATCAGCTTAAACCTGTTGTATCGCATACTCGTGTTGTGAGTTGTGACAACATAATCAAGCAACACTATACTGCAAGGTCCATGCATTTTATCAAACTTCCAAACAAGCTAACAACAAGATTATATACCAAACAACATATTTCACTGCTTTTTCGATAAAGGGCGATTTTATTATCTCGTAATGTAGCATCAAGGGGATACAAAACATTATGAGTAACACCCGGCCTCTGCATAACTGAGATGCACACAGCCAA